CAGCCCGAAGGTAACTACACCCAAAAGCACCCATTGTGTGTCTTCCAAGAAGTCTACACTGAAGCCAAACAAAGGCAGGTCTTTGTTAAATGGCAACAGACAAATGATTTATATTCAACGTGGAGATCGAACTACGTAACCTTCGAAAGAAGAAAGGCAACAACAGTAGCAATTATCTTACAAATGATGCAGTTGAACTCATCATCAAATTAAGACCCACCCTGAGATTGTGCCACTGCAGTAATACCTGTTCTGCTACGACCAGCTGTGATGTAACCTGCAGTTACGTTACAAAGGGACGTCATGCATATTTCTGCAGTATAACGCTATTTATTTAAGTCCATGTTTAGCTGATGATGCAATTGTAAAAAAAGAAAGAAAAGAAAGTAAAAAGAGACCTCGGTTCATTAGCATCTCTCGATAATCCCGTTTTGTGTGTCTGCTCCTAGACGAGCCCTCGCTCCCCTGGTCGGACCTTCGCCTTCCCCCCCGCGTCCTCGCTCTCCCCCGTCCCTCCCGCCCGCTCCCCCTCCCCGCGCAGCCCGGAGCTCCTGGGGGTCAATGTGGGCCAGCGGGTCCGACGGCTGAGCTCGTCCGGCGGGGAGGACCGGGGGGAGGGCGAGGGCCCGGAGGAGGTGGGAGGAGGGGAGACGGCCGAAGGAGACAGGAGGGAGGAAAGGAGACGCCAGGCGCAGCAGCTGCAGATACACAGGGAGCTGCAGAACGTGGAGGTGATTCTACACGTGCAGCTCTTCTTCTTCTTCTTCTTCTTCTTCCGGCGGCCGTGTCTTCAAATTCTAGAGAATTTACGACTTAACTATACGTTTGTCGGGACAAGTCAGAACAGCGCCGGCAGGCAGGACGCTCCGGTGATCGTTCAAACGCTGCAGGCGGCGAAGCAAAAGCAAAAGCAGGAAAAACCACACGAGTGTTTGGATTCAGGCGCACACACACATTCACTTTTTCTTCCATGTTGTTACGCTGCTGAAAGCGGGAGAATTGGACGAGATCGATGTGGAATAATGATTCTCAGCCTCTTTAGTTACTAGCATCTCCTTCCATCGTCATCCGCCATTCATAAACTCAGATTATAATCTCTTCAGTAATCAATTTTGTGAGTCCATGTGACTACTTTTCTTTTGCCTTGGACTGTTTGTACCTCTATAATATAAATGAAGATGCATTGATTACACAAAAATAGAGCAAAATGTGATTATCAGGTTCAGAATAATTGGAATTTAAATTCAATGATCAATATGCAGTGTTAAAGCATTATCCATTTAGTTCCATTTACATGTACACAGTATACTACATACAAATACGTTTTCTTTTTTCCCTTCTGTCTGTTTAATGTGAAATATCAAGAAACTCTTCTTTTTTCTTTTCCGTTTTTATGACGTTGGTCGGAGATTGTGATGATGTGACGACTTTTTGTTGCAGTGAAACGATAAGAACCAAACCGAAATATCAAAAACATGCATTAAAGTCGACTGGCTTCTAGTTACCCCAATGAAACCAAGCTGGAGACGAGTGAAACCTTAATTGTCCCTGTCTTCTGTGTCTACCAGGTCAGGGGAAAAGTGGGCATTTTTGAGGCCCACATTTCTGGAATTCGCGCCCAAGTGCTGAACACCGAGCTGCAGCGCAGCCCTCGCTCTCCGAGGCGCTCGACCAACGCGGCCCTCGAAAGCCCAGTGACCCCCCCGCCGGAGAGCAGCTCCGTTGTCCAAAATGGAAGAGAAAGGGAGGAAGAAACTACGGCGGGAGGAAGGAGGGAAGGAGGTAGCGAAGACGCTGAAGAGGGCGACTGCGCTGCAAAAGCGAGCCCTGAAAACAAGACACTGATCGGTGAAACGGCTCAGACGCCACGATGCAAACCCCCGGGTTGGACGGACCGTCTGTCCTTCGGGTTTCCCTCGAGACATTAAAGCTGAACGCGTCGGTGGCAGAGGAGAGAAAACAGGGAGGAAAGGACAGAGGCGAGGGAGAAAACAAACGGATGTTGGGAGACGGGAGAGACGAGAGAGAGGACCGCTTGCGGCTCCAGACAGAGGCCAACCGGTCGGAGGATTACCCAGAATGCAATGCTCTCCCTCCGACACAAAGCAAAGAGAGCCCCCCCACCGACCCCACCTGGAACCACTCGCCCTGCGTCCCTCCCTCTATCCCCGCCGTCATCGTAACGGACCACGGCTTGGAAAGCCAGGCCGGGACTCGCGAAGGCCCCGGCTCAGACCAGGGCCTCGGGTGCAGCCCGAGCCCCGGTTCCAGCCCCGTCCCCGGGGGGAACTTCTCCACCCACTCCCTCAGGAAGCTGTCGTCCTCCTCCGCCTCCTCGGCCGGTTTCTCCTCGTCCTGGGAAGAGTCGGAGGAGGACATTTCCAGTGACACGGAGAAAGGAGAGCACCTCCTCAATCCCGCTGTGCTCACCTCCCAACAGAGAGCGGTAAGCGGCTCCAAACCTGCCCGTGTGTGTGTGTGTGTGTGTGTGTTTAGTGGAGCGCTTTTGGACTCGTGGATGGTAACGTCCTTTGGAGTCTGCATTCGCCTGAATTGCCAAATATAAATTTCCGCCGTATGGATTTGCAGAGGGTTATTAAGCCGTTTGACTAATCCCAAAACCTTCCCTCTAGAATTATAATATTTTATCTATCTTGTGAAATACCTCTGTGGATCTAATTGAGCTAGCCACTGTTAGCGTGCTAGCACGTTAAATAAGGCGGCGGACGTTACATATTTGATGGTGGTGAAATCGCCTCATTTAGAATCTGAAGTAATCTAAGAACGTTGCCAAAGACCAGCGGGATTTGGCAAATAATCCGGATTTGTGAAAAAGTCTGTCTGCGGTGTAAACGATTGCGCCTCAAAATGTTGTTATGTGTGTGTGTGTGTGTGTGTGTGTGTTTGAATTTGCCCGTGCATGTTGGCTGGCTGCTCCTGCGTCAAAATGGCCTCAGCCTGAGTGATGCTTGACATTCACAACAACAAGGCCAGCTCTGTGCACCAACCCGTGTGTGTGTGTGTGTGTGTGTGTGTGTGTGTGTGTGTGTGTGTGTGTGTGTGTGTGTGTGTGTGTGTGTGTGTGTGTGTTAAAAAGAGAGAGAGAGAACCCCGGCGGATAGAAAGAAGGGAAAGAGTTTTTGCCAGTCACACACACTTAGGCTTGTGCGTGAAATAGGGACGTTTTTCACAGAGGCTGACCCCGTTTGTGTGTTGTTGTGTGTTTGTGTGTAGGTGGTTGTGTTTTTGTTTGTAGCCGGGATAAGTTCATGGGGACATTTCACTTCTGCTATAAAACACTGAGGATTGCATAACTAATAATTTACCAGCGTTTCCGAGACGATGTCCCAAAAGAGTCGCTCGGCGCCTTTACTTCTCATCCTCTATCAGCTCTGAAGCTGAAAGGCGCAGTTGTACAAGAGTCTCTCGTCTCGCCTCATTTTCCATATAGAAGGATGTGCGATATTCAATCAAAACCTCCCTCCCCTCCCTCCCGTCCCGTCCCGTCCCGTCCCTCTCGGGTGACATGGACTCACCAAACCATTTGTTTGAATGAATTTGGCTGATATCATTTGAATAGTGTTTGTGTTGCTCTTTGCATATCCGAGGTCACTCCCTTACCGCTTAGTACAGGACGCCGAGGAGGAGAGAGATGAAACGCGTCCACCGCAGAGGAACCCGGGTGGGAGGCGAACTCGTCCGCTCTTCTCGGCGCCGTTTATTGCAGCGGTGACTCTGCTTTATTTGACACGTGACGTTAAACACAGCAGGACCGTTGTGCAGACACACACAGATGCATGAGGGTTTTCTTTCTTTTTTCGGCTGAATTGAACCCGAGTAAGCGTGACTTTTTAATTCCCACTATAAACACGTGGGCTGTGCCGCGGTCATCATCTTTTGGATTATCTCAAGTGGGTTTTTTTGAGTGGGGGCTGAAGGCCGAGCGGAGCCTTATATAGACGCCGCTTGGCTGGTGCTTCGGCTGCCGGGCACCTCTCCAAGGTTTAAACGCACAAATCTGCCAAAGGTGTTTGTTTTTTTCTGGTAAATTGGCAAGCAGAGGGGCACCTGCTGAAGATTATCATCTTGTTTTTGTTTAGTGTCCTTTTCATTTCTGGGAAAGTGGGACGAGAAGAACATGTCGGCAGCGGAGGGGCTTCAATGCTGAGGCGACGCTCCGTCGTTTGCTTTTGTACTTTTACCTGCAAGCCCCTCAATGCAAAAAACACACGCATTCACCTAAAACAATGGAATCCCCTCCATTTGTACCAATCATCACAGGAGGTCGAGCCCAGCTCACTTTGGTAGATTGTTTGACTTATTCATCGATGTCAAAAAATGGGTAAACAAGTGAAACATCTGCAGGAGGACGGCGTCGTGAGGCCGCTCGGCGAGCAGAGCCCGGACACCTTTCAGTCCACGCGTCGCTCTTCACTCACGCAGCCGTTACATAAGCAGATGTTTCTCCTGGAATGCGGATCGGGCCCGTGCTCTGAAACACACACACACACACACACCCACACACAGACACACACAGACACACACACAAACACACCCTTTGCACACACCACAAAGTTGCACAGTCACATTTTGTCTCTTACTGCCGTACTGCCACTAATGTCACGTGGACACACATCCCTTTTTTTTTCTTTTCGTCTTCTTGACCCAAAGTCGAATCTTCTCCTGCACGTGTTGCTCCGACTGTGAGAAGTGAGCTCATCTGCAAACGACGCCACAAAAAGAGCTTTTCTTTCTTTCTTTTTTATGACCTAAACTGTAACTGAAGATAATCAGCACACACACACACACACACACACACACACACACACACACTAACACACACACACACACACACACACAAACACATACTTAGACACACGCCGTGTTTGCACCGCAGTGGAAAATCTTCACTACCACGGCGGCCGGTTGCCTAGCAACCATGTGACGTCAAACCGAGTTTCCCTCTCACAGCTGTGTGTGTGTTTGCGTGTGACAGAGAGTTTGTGCATTGGTGTGTGTGTGTGTCCAGCTCTCTGTTTGTGTGTGCGTGTGCTAGTGTGTGTGTTTTATTGTGAGAGGGGAAACACCGGTCACGTCTTCCGTTGGTGTTTCTGTGCGAGCTCGCTGGTAAGCGTGAGAGTTCATCTTAACCCCCCCCCCATGACCCTGGATAACGAGGAGTCGGGTCGGCCTGGAGTCACTGAAGCTGACATCTTAGGTGAAGGAGTGTCTCCGGGTATCGTGGGGTTGCATGTGTGGTTTCCGAGGGGAAACCCTGCTGTGTGCAGAGAAAAGAGCTGCACACAGGTCGCTGACCAGAGAGCCACGGGTTTGCATTTATAAATGTGACGCCGATCAGAACAGAATCACCTCTCTGGACCTTCCGGCGGATCGCCGTGGTGTTTTTGTCCAGCATCGCATAACCAGGGGCACATTTCACAGGCCGTTGTGCTTGTTAGCGTTTCAGAGCTGCGGCTGGATCTGGAGCACTTTAATGTTCCGTGCAGCGACCTCAAGTTGTTTTGTTTTTAGATGTCAGTGTTTCTCACTGTCACTTTTCTTGTCGCCTTCTTTCCACTGGCCGGCCCGTGGTTGCTATCGGAGGTTCGTCGTTGCTCCGCCTGCACCGCGCTCCTTTTGACGTGTCATTTTGCGTGTGTGTGTGTGTCGGTGCTTCTCAGTCTAAACCCTGCAGACTCAGACAATCGGTTGTATCTGCAAGGGGACCTTGTGGTGAGCGATATCGGGCCTGTTGTTTTCCTCTGCGCTTCTCGCGCACGAAAAACACGCGCGCGTGCCTCAGTGTTTCCCCTGCTGCTACGCATCGCACACGTATGCAACCCGGCGTTACCCTTTGCCACTAGTTTTTTACTATATGCACGTTTCATTCCTCCCAACATGCAAATGGGGGACGTGTCGTCCAACATTAAGTTATTTCTCCATAAAGCATCTGAAAATGTCCTCCTTTCCAAATGCACACTTCAATAATGCAGCTTGAGGAGCTTGATGCACATTTCTAGACGACAATATTTGAGGAGCCAACATGAACTCTTTGCTTCAGAGCTCTTCTTCCCCTCTGTGCTCTCTCTGATGTTTACGGAGGGCAAGGCCTTCTTTCTTTCTTTTGTTTGTAGTCAGCGGCGGATGTGGAAAATACTGCCGCTGAGGCAAGCGGCAACCCCCCGCACCCTACTTCCTGTCTGCAAGAAGTTCCTTCTTCTACCATTTCCTCTCTCTCTCTCTCTCTCTCTCTCTCTCTCTCTCTCTCTCTCTCTATCTCAATGGAAACTTTACAGTTGTTCCTGCCCTCCTCTTGTCATCCAGCTGGTCTGGGGATAGAGATACGAGGGCGAGAGAGACCAGAAGAAGATGAGCGGGCGAGTGACTTTGAGGGAAGGTTTTGTCGGACTTGCATCCCAGTTTTTTTGTTGAGCTTTGCTCATTACAAAAAAAATAACATTTCCATTTCAACCAATTGAATTCAAAAGTGAGTGTTTGTAAAAAAGCAAAAGCTCATCCATCTTCAATCCTTATCCTTCATACAAACAACCATGCACACTCACATCCGCACACCTACGGGCAATTTAGAGCCACCAATCAACCTGATCGCCACAGCACGCCTCTGGACTGTGGGAGGAAGCCGGAGAACCCGTAGAGAACCCACGCAGACACGGGGAGAACACGCAGACTCCACACAGAAAGGTCCAACCGAGGGCCTTTCTTGCTGTCTGGCCACATCGCTAACCACCACACCACCGTCCCGCCCCCAGAACCCCCCCCAAAACCCCCAAAGGTGACCAACTAAATAGTGAAATGTCTTGACTCTTAAACACACTGTGGGGCTTTTTTCCTGATGGAGACCCACGTGTCTTATCGTCCTTATCCAGTGACGCGTGATGCACGCGTGATGCACGCGCTGCTGCGCTGAGGCACCGACTCAACTAATTAAGGCTTCATGGTTTGTCGAGATGGAAAAAGACGTCTCTCAGGCTGTACGGCAACGAACGGCAGAAAAATCGACGTCCTTACAGGAAGGAGCGTCTCCGAGGAGACGATATACGGTAGTGAGATTATTTGCATGGACCAGCCGAACTGATGCGAAGGAGAAGAAGATTATATAGAAAAAACAGTTGTATATTTCCTTAAATTCAATGAGGTAAAAAAAAAAGCTGGAATCCGCGAGAGGAAACATGAGGTCACATTGAGTGTAACTGGATAGTTAAACTTCATTCAGTCTTATTGGCCGGCTGGAACACACACACGGTTTCCTGCTTTGCATCTGTACTCGTATACCTCATTTCTCTTCGATCTCTTCAGCAGTCTTGACGCTCGCGGCTAAATTACGTTTGGCACATTCCTGAGATGTTCCCCGCGAATCTTTTCAACACAGGCCGCCTCTGGCAGCTCCGTTTGAACACTTTTGAAAACTTTCCATGAGTGTCTGTTGTCAGGTTCGGACACGCTCACGCTCAAGGTTTTACTTTCACAGCCTGGATAGTCCTTCCAGCCAGCTGTGAACCCCCCCTTCCATAAGAATCCAGATGTGTTTATGTGCCAGGCTTCTCTTTCCCGGATAAACGACCTGAAACGTTACAGCTCATCGCGTTTCCTTTTTACGTTTGCTGCTCGTTTTGTAACAATTCTTCTGTTCATCACACACACACACAAACACACACACACACACACACACACACTCGGCTCCGTCTGTGTTCTTTTAAATGCTTTCACCTGTGTGGAGATTTGCATGTCCAGATTATGTTTGTCCCCTGTTTTGCCAACCAAATGATGCACAATTGTTTATCTCGGCGCACACACACACACACACACACACGCACACATAAACACACGCGTGTGTGTCCTGTCGAGTCACGGAAAGAAGAGCCCCGGAGGCGCTCGCTCTTCTGAAGGCCCGAGGGTTCGGAGGCGGACGATGGCGTGGCTCTGCTCCGTGTGGAGTGTTGTCGTGTCGGTGGGAGTCGTCCTTATCGTTACCGCCATCCACCTGCGCACCGCCCACCTTCAGGTACCGTCGCCCGATGCAGCCGCTCCGTCGCAGGAGGCTCTTTATCCCGGGAGTTAGTCCTTGCTTGGGGATGTTTGACAGCTCGACTTTTGGAGACGGACTTTACTGAGCAGTAATATGTATATCGGGTAGCAGTTGAGGTCGTTTTTTTATTTCATTACACAGCAGCCAAACTTCTCCTCATCCTCCTCATCCTCCTCATCCTCCTCATCCTCCTCATCCTCCTCCTGATCACCTTTTAATGTCTCCAGCTTCTAGAACTACACCATGCCTGTTATTACTCACACATGAGCTGAACCAGACTTCTTTTCTCTCTCTGTCTCACACACACACACACACGCGTGTGCGCTGGCTGTTGGTGGGAGACGGTGACAGTCTGACAGCGAGAGCAGAACTTGGCCTCCCCTCCGGCTGTAGTCGGATACTCTCGCGCTCTCTGCTAATCGGCCGGAGACGGTGGAGGAAATTCCGATGGGCCTTTTCTCACCAGTCCGGTGGCTTAAACAGCCAAAGTCCGTCTCTTTCGTTTCTCTCTCTGCGATCGCCTACACATCGACACGTGGACATTATTGTTCTGTCCGTTGTACATTATTTGCCAATAAGTAGATTTCATTTTCGTTTTATAACCGAGTTTCTCCGCAAAGAATTTCATAAATCCACCACTTAAAATCTTGAGTTTGCTCGTTCATTGTTTGGAAAAAAGTCATAAAAAAAGAAGTAAAAACTAATGACCGACTAAAGGTATTCGACCGAACTGCTCAATTAGATGACTAATTGACTCTTTTGTTTGTGTCGGAAAGGACAGAATCATTTCAGAGGATTCGAATCAGTTCAGTCAGTCAGACTTTTGAAAACGTTGTGAAAACTCGGCCACCAACTTTTGCACTTTGAAAAAGCAACAGTCCCGATAATCTGTTTCAAGCTCGACTCACTGCAGCTGACCTGCCCTGCAGTTAGTTTCCACCATGTGATCCGTTCACATGTGTGTGTGTGTGTGTTTTACTTTTAGCAGAGTTTTCCATGTGACTCTTCACCTCAGAAAGAGAGAGAGCGAGCGAGGGACGAGAGAAGGTGTGTGTGTGTGTGTGTGTGTGTGTGTGTCTCTAACCATAGATAGTCATGCTATCAGCTGATGGATTTCCATCAGGTCCAGATTATGTGACATGGGTAATATGTCTCCTTCTATGGTCCTCTCCTCTCCTCTCCTATCTCCTCCGTTCTCTCGTCCTCCTTCCTTCTTTTTTTCTTCCCCCATCTCTCTTCTCCTCCGTAGACAAAATATTACGCCTCCCGCCGGAGAAAGCCTTCTGTGTGCGAGCGTACATCTTTACAGTCGATGTAAATGTGATGTCACACAAGAGGATCCCGCACCAGATGTCGGGGACACATTTCATTTGCGCGTCAACATTTGGATTTAGTCTCTTATGTTTTTTTGTCCTGCATCCTTTTCTTTTCTTTTTTTTAAATCTTTGCTTGGCTGTGAAACACGGTTCCCAGCCAAACATTGTCTAAACCCACAGAACAAGACTCCAGGAGTCTTTCCGTGTGACGTAATCCTGCTGGCATGAGAAGCCTTTTCCTTCCCTTGAATACATTATTTAATTGGAGTGTTATTTTCTGTGTCCCCAGCCGGCCGCTGCCTCTCTACCGTCAGACCTCCAAGCCACCGTTAGCTCGTGTATTTGCTCGCGTTCATATCGCCATGTGCTCATGTAATGTACCGATTAGAGAGCGCTGACACGTCGGCGGGGGGGAACGTCAGAGACACGAGAACGGAACACACGAATCGGCCGGTCGCCACGGAGATGAAAAGTGTTGACGTTCGAGGACAACTTGCGGTGTGTGTTTGTCTGCGCGTGTCCCCGTTTGTCAATGGGTGTGTGCGCGCGCGCGCGTGCAGCAGGATCTCCACGGTTCGGTGCCTCTGCCAAGGACAGGGAGCCCTCGCATAAACTGTGTTTGTGTAACCGGGGGAAACCCCAGCCCCGCCCTGCAGAGCTTAGTTCAAATGTCCTAAAACAGCAGGGAGGGGGGCTGTCAGGGATGCCCCACAGTGTGTGTGTGCGTGTGTGTGTGTGTCTTGTGCATGTGTTTGCTCCTTGTGCACTTCCCTAAATGTGTCTTTAAAGTTTGCATGCAGCTGGTAAACTCGTCGCCGTGGACGCCGATTGTCGTAATGAAAGAAAACACCACGTTGCCAGTGAAGCATTATTGTGAAGGATCACCACTCGTGTTGTTTCTTTGTGATTGTAGCACAAGTCTTGGAAGAAGATTAAAAACATGGTCCACTGGTCGCCGTTTGTCATGTCCTTCAAGAAGAAATACCCCTGGATACAGCTGGCGGGACACGCAGGTACGTGGCGGTGGCCGCTGTGTCTTCGTTGGGAGGGTGTCTCTGAGGTCAGCGTCGTAGGCTGGTGGTGGTGGTCGCTGGACCAGAGCGATGGACCAGCCTCTTCACCGCAGTCTCACGCTCTCTGTCTTTTCACAGGGAGCTTCAAGGCCGGAGCCAACGGACGAATATTAAAAGTAAGACGCCACATGTTGGTACTCAAATTATCGCGGCTTCAGGGCATAAAATGTCCGATATCAAGCCAATACCGACTCATCTATTCAATACCAATATACATTGTACACTGGAATCTGAATGAACCGCCTGTCGCAGCGTAATGCGCCACTCGTCACCTCATTCACACACTGTGTTTCGGTAAATCTAAATCTTTGTGTCCTTTCGTTGCGTCCTGCAGAAACACTGTGAATGTGAGCAGCGCTGCTTGTCCCTCCTCATGAGGGACGTGCTGCGCCCCTACGTCCCCGGTTACCATGGAGACGTGGAGAAGGACGGCCAGAAATACAACCAGATGGAGGACCTGCTGGCTGAGTTTGACTTCCCGTGTGTGATGGACTGCAAGATGGGAGTGAGGTGAGAAGACACTTGACATGAGGTCTTCACGTCGCAGGCTGGCGGTTAATTGCTCACTTTATTTAAAACGTTTTTACAGTTTTGTGCTTCATTTCTATTGATAATGCCGCTGTTCTACTGATAAAATTTATTCCATTACTGGTAAAGAGTGTGAACACCCTGAAATGAATGCGTTTGGTTTCTTTAAAAACCCGTAGGATGGTCTTCACACCTTCGCTTTCACCCTCTCTCCTCCTCCTCCTCCTCCTCCTCCTCCTCGCGCCCGCGCCGTCGTCTTCTCCGCCTCCGTCCCCGGCTTCACACTTTGTTTAATCGCTCTTCTCCAGGACCTACCTCGAGGAAGAGCTGACCAAAGCTCGTAAGAAACCCTCCCCGAGGCCTGACATGTATCAGAAGATGGTGGAGGTGGAACCGGAGGCGCCGACGCCGGAGGAGACCCTCCAGAAGGTGGTGACCAAGCCCCGGTACATGCAGTGGAGAGAGACCATCAGCTCCACGGCCACCCTGGGATTCAGGATAGAGGGAGTCAAGGTGAGACTGGAGAAGGTGTGTGTGTGTGTGTGTGTGTGTTTGGGCGTGAGGGGCCTTCAAGGTCGTGATCCAACTTCCTGTTTTGGACACAAACTTCCTCTGAAGTGTGTGTTTGCGCATGAGATCCTTTGTCACACATGACGCCTGCCCGTGGCAGCTCCCTGTGCCCCGGCATCTGCCACTGACATTGTACGCAAACACACACACAAGGCTCTGCTGTCGAGGGTCGTGGCTATATAAGGACATCGGCGGCCTCCCGGTGGTCTGTTGCCAGGACACCGAGGGCTATCCCCAGAAACATGTGTGTGTGTGTGTGTGTGTGTGTGTGTGTGTGTGTGTGAGAGGAATTAAAAAGCGTGGATGTGCCGTCCATGTGCATCGGTTGTGTAGATTGTGCGAAGGAGGAGGGGGGAGACATGGGCCTTAAAGGGGAAAGTAGCTGCGTCTTGTTGGCCGACGGCCGGGAGAGTAAGAAAAACTTGTTTATTCTTCTCTCAACCGACCAAATAGCCTCTGCTATTTAAGTTTGAGGCGGCGGAATTACAACTTCCTGGTCCGTCGGCCGACGCCACGGAGCCCGAAACCACTTACAAAACTCTGAATATCAAGTTTACGAGTGATGTGCTCATTTGTGCTGGGAAATGACTCTTCATTAATTAATCAACCAAGAAGGATCACTACTACTACTACTACTACTACTACTACTACTAATACTATTACTACTATTACTACTTCTACTGTTACTAGTGGTACTTTTTGGAGGCTAAATTCAATTTGCAATTCGATGCTAGTTTGCTTTATGTGACATTGAACACATCCAGCAACTCTGGATACTGGCAACTATTGAACAACTGCTCCATCTTAGTTGCCATATTGACGTTTCCCGCACAAAAGCATCTGGAGGTTAAACACACGTCTCCTGCCCCCCCACGTCTGCTGCCCCTTCGCCCCCGCCCCACGTCTCCTGCCCCCCCCGTCTCCTGCCCCTCCCGTCTCCACCAGAAGCTTTGAAGTTGTCCTTTGTTTCATGCTAATTGCGCCTGAAATGAGGCTCTGTCAGTGTTTCAGTACCACAGATCTTGTATTGTTACCCGTCCCGGTATCGGTCTCGGCGTGTCGCTACGTCGCCCCGTTTGTTTGCTTTAAACATCATTAGCATATTTACCGTGGCTGCTCCCAGAAAGCAAAGAACGTGTCCACACCTAAAATTATCCTTTGCACACACACACACACACACACACACACACACACACACACACACACACACACACACACACACACACACACACACACACACACACACATCCAGTGAATGAAGTGAATGAAGGGGAATCTGTGTTGACATGGACTAATAAGTACAAATGAAGTTCTTTAGATGTTCCCTCGTGTTCTCTCCCGTAGAAGGAGGACG